TTTTTTTTTTAATGGAAAGCTAACAGAAAACCTTGGCACATTACTAGAGATGTAATGAAATGGCAGCTGCTTTTCAACTGTCTCATTGCAATTCTTCCCCTGAGCCCAATCCCTCAAGATATTAAATGCCCAAGTCTTTATACAAGTTTCTTCCAGTGCCAACAGAGCTGCAACCTTTTTAAAAGTAATCACTGAGGTGAGATAACACCTAGTATTTTAATATTTACACATCTGTCATAGCTTTAAAGTAAAATAAAACAACTCTTATTTTTCCCTCAAAGTACTGAAACCTGACTGACAGAAACCCATCCCTATCCTGATGCCACCAAAGCTTGCAGAAAAGCCTCTCTCAACACTGCCAAGAGCAGGGAGAACACACCCACTTCTGTTTATCTGAATAATTGAGCACTTTTATTTTTTTCCTTTTTTCACTGCTTGACGATTATTTCTCTTTCCCACAGGATTTTCTCCTAGCAGCTTCTTGTAAACTGAGAAAAGATAAAAACAGTCTCATGATGTCAAGCATAACTCAGTTGCCATCAGGCTCATGGGCTGTTTAACGCACACTCAGCAGTATCCAATTTGAGTTGTGCCTCTGTTGTTCTCTTTGACATTTGGACAAAAAATGGGGATACCAAGTGAGCCATACAATAGCAACTGGATCAATCGGGAAACCTGAGCTAAGATTCCAGCAATAGCTCAGTCTTGCAATGTTTCACTAAGAGGCCCATGAGATTTTTTTTTTTAAATTATGTTTCTTAAATATGTCGAAGTTAGTCTTCCCAATTTAAGATGTGTACTACCTCTTAATTTGCACTTAAAGGATATATGCAAAAGTACTACTTTTCCAGAAAATGCATTTGAAGTTTCAGGTTACTGAAAGATCATCTTGGTACAAGTTTGTATTGTACAGGTCCAAACTGAAATGAATCGAGATTCAGGTCCAAAATCCAATAAATCAAATAATCATTGCCAAAGCATACCCACATTCCAAACCATTTTTCTTAGCAACCCACTGCAATGCTTTTTGAAAAGTATGTATGTATGTCATATTACCATTTCTTTTCATGTGCAGCATGCTGTTTTCCAAAAACAGAAAGAAAGCTGTTCTTCATAAAAATAAAAAAAATGTTCTTAGTAACCACAGTAGGAATGTGGGAAACCAACAGCAATACATGCAGCAGGCTCAGTAGTGTAAAAAGAAAAGCCATTGGAATCAGCTCTTCTGACTAAGCGACTTCTCTGCAAGTATGCATGAAGCACAAGGGACAGCAATAACAAAACCCCTGAATTGTCCAAGTCCTTCAAACAGAAGGAGCTGTAACTGTGCTTCTGGGTAGCTGCTGACTGGAGATACAGTCTCTTGATTCCCATATTTTTGGTCCGAGTGTGGATAAGCACCATGCTTTGCATTCTTGGCAGATGCTAAAGCTTGTATCTGCCTTCTAGCCTGGGAGTTAGCAAGCTTTTTCATCAAACCACATTTCAGCAGAGACTGGTTCCTGGATCTCTTCCCTTCCTGTACAAAATCACATAACATTGATGTGGTAACTGCAGATGACTATATGGGCAAGTAACATCAGGCAATTATTTTTATACATTTTGAATCATCTTTGAATGCAATTGTGCAATTGGGGAGGGCTCCAGGGAAGGAAGGAATGACAGCATGACATAACTAAATTTCTACAGATGACAGCTAGACAGCCTCACCTCTTGTCTTTCCAAGGAACAAGCCTTAGGAAGCTGGCCTTCACTTTACAGACAAACAATGGTCACATGAATTTGAAGCTACCCGTTTAAATATCATTTATATAACCTCCAGATTGTCATGCACATACCGCAGAAAACATGGCTAACCCATTCCCTTCTAATAAGAAAATAAATGAAGATACTCTGCAGCAATGGAAGAGGACAGCAGAACTTGTAACACAGCTTAGTTCAAGACAAAACTCTTTCCTCAGTTATGCAATTTGTACCACACAAGAATTTATGGTGTACGCTCTTAGCTACAGTGCTTTACTTGAAAAACCCTTTAAAAAATAAAAAACTGAGAATATGAACAGACACAGAAATCTCTTCCCTGATCTTCAAGAAGTCCAGTAATATAGCATCCAGACATGAGCACACAGCCTCCATGACTGCACTACTTTTCTTTTTTTTTTTTCAACTTGCTGGAAATGCATCTATTTTTTACTGGAAAATAGTCAAACACCTGCCATTTTGTTTCTTGTCTTTGTGTGTTGTTCCCTGTCTACTGGTCTTTTGTTTCCCCAGGTGACATTTTAGACTTCGTGCTCCTCTAGCTCTGCTCCACACATCCAGCAATTTGAGGAAAGGAAAGCATAAAGGCTAAAGAGCTTTGCCTCTCTCCTGTAAAAGGCTCTCTTAGGTTACCAGTGCCTTACTCACATGCTGAAAGCCCAGTTACATGGGTTCCAAGCAAGCTGCTGCCAAACGGAGCACTGCCAGTCTCAGCTGGAGCAATGCTGAAACTTTGCTGGCACTGAGGGAATTAAGTCTTGCCCTGGACGTCCTGTGTGGTAAATTATGAAGAAAAAAGAAAGCAAGCCAAAGCTAGTCAAAGAGATCCTCAATCACAGGTCATTCTTTTTTATCTTCTTATCTCTGCTTCAGCTTTCCATCTGAGAATTGGAGATGATATAGGCTCGCCTCACAGGCATATTGTGAAAACGAATCCATTGATGTCTCTTAAACACTTGGATTGCCAGAGGAATGCTCACAATTACATTAATAATTCTGTACTCTGAGTAGGATTTGAACAGTTTGAAATCAGGCACAGAGCCTTGCAGGAACAAGGAGGTGACAAAACATTGAATAGCTGTTTCTTAGCTGAGCCCTGCTCATTTTTGGTGCAGAACAGAGAGCCAGGGTACCAGAAAGAAGTAAGGGAAAGCACAACAGAAGGAATGTAATCAAACCCTCAGGGACCACAGCATGGTCACAGGCATTGAGCCCCAACTAAAACCTGATGCACCCTTTAAAAATAGAGACATAACATATAAATATTTGATTCTGCAGCCCTAACGTGTTTTTCACAGCGAGTTAAGATCAATGCCCAGCACAAGTGAGTATGTCCTATATTATTTACACTTACTGTTTTGTGTACATACAAAAGGAAGCATGAAATCCAGTCTTTCAACTTGGGGTATATAAATACATGTATCATTTGGAAGTCTGTGTATATCCCACTGAAAATTATGGCTTTGCCTTGCAAAACTGACAGATCCTTTAGTGGAAGGATTACTGCAACACTGAATATGCTAACTTGAGATAAACAAACTGCAGAGACAAACTTAATTATCTCTTCTTCTAAAATTACCCGTTTTGCTGTTTCCATCAGAGCAGCAGCTTCAGTCTTGCCCACTTGTTGCACCATTTTGTAAAACAAGCTGTCTTGTTCTTGCAGCAAAATGTAAGGCTCACCGTATTCTTTCAGTCTTCCCGCATCTAAAACCTGTTAAATCAGCAGAAACCAATGTATTAACATAAAAAAAATTAAAAACTAAATGTTAGACACTAGAAACCAAATGTAGGCGACTACAGGCAAGGGGGAAATGTATGCATTTTTAGTGTTAAGATGAATTTTGGACCCTGAAAATGAATTCTGCCCTCTTCAAACTAGTATAGCACTTTCTCAGTTTACAGACTTGTTGTACAATTTTAGAGTGCCCTACAGCCATTCCACCTATAGGAATCCAACATGAAGTTATGCAGAATATGGAAATACAATGTTTGTGCAGCCAACAAAGCAGATTATAAGATTCATTGTGTAAGAAGGAAACAAAGAGGTCCAAAATGGGCTCTGAAGTAAACAGCTGTGGGTAAAAACCATGCAATAACCACCAAGACGGTTAAGGGAGAGTAAGTAGGTCTTTTGAATTAGAGGTGAAGGTGTAATTAAAGAAAATGAGGGTGTTGCTGAAAAGATAAACAATTTCTTGCATCAGTTCTTGCCAACTATGGATTAGAAAGATATTTAAACCTGACCCTATTCTTTCCACGTAAAGAAAAGATCAGATACCACCATGGACACACGTACTCAAAAAGAGAGGAAGGAAGAAAGAAAGAACAACAGTGAAATTAAATAAGCATGAAATCAATAATCCACAGAGAATATACACAGTCAAAAATATAGGAAAATATTAAGAATATGCTGATTGAACCTCTATGAAACTCTCAGTTCTCAGACTAGTGACTTCATTTAAGGACTGCATGGCAGCAAACACTGAATTTACATTTTAAAAAGCCTTTATAGGATTAATTCAAGGAAATTTTGGACTAGCATATATATTTTGATGTAAGACACCAAATTAATTGAAACAGTCATTAAAACAAAAGAAGACACATAGAGCACAGGTAGAATTAATTCTCCACAGTTTTAGCAATCACAAATCTGATACAATTTTTAATGTACCAGAAGAAAACTAAAGGAAAAATGGTTTATGTGGATTTTCAGAAAGATACCTGGTGTAACTAAATAACCATGCTACAAAGAACAAAGCTTTTCAAAAACCTGGACAGAAAACAAGAGATTTGAATTGAACAGTGCAGCTTCTTTGTAGAAAACTGAACAGGTAGGAACTGGTGGGAAGCATATTGTTCTGCCATAGGTGATAGCTACTTATGTTAATCATCAGAAAAAGGAGGTGTCAGAGAAGTGACAAACCTGTAAATGACACAAAAATGTGCAGATAAGAATAGACCAGGGGTTCAGATATACCTAACTAACCTAAGAGAATGAGAAACACAATAGCAGGGAAAAGCCAATATTGACAAATGCAATGCACTCAAATACTTAACTGGCTTATAAATTAATGGTATTGACTCAAGAAAGAGATCTGGGTTTTAGTCTACAAGTTCAGTACTTTACGCCATGAGTAGGAGTAATGGAGTTTTAAAAAAAAGGGAAAGAATTCATGTGAGAAAACAATTCAGAAAATATTTTTGCTCTTATATAAATAAAAAACTGAATGCACAGGCGTGCTATTGACAAAGATATTGCCACAACAAAAGGACTTCAAGGACTCATAACTCAAACCATAATTGTGGTGTACATACTTGTGAGAAAAAAAAGAAAGATCTAAAGAAATGGAGCTGTTGATTTCAGAAAAGAAATTAATAAAAGGTATGGCGAGGACAACTTCCAAAGTAACAAAAATAGCGTGCAAACTTCTGTTTGAAAGAAGAACCTCCAACAAGCCTGCAGATAAATTCAGAGTCCTTTGAGGAAACTTTCAAACATGTCCTTTGCCTGTGCCGCTCCAGAGAACCACACATCCTCATGGCCAAGGGCCTGGCAGATCTCCAAGCAGCCTGGACCCCAGTAAATGACAAAGCCCACAGGGAAGGGGCACAGCTGAGCTGACTCCTTTGCCTGCACCAGTGTGAAAATCCTGCAGTGCCAAGATCACTGTCAATTTGTTTGACACCAGAGACCCAGCACCAAGGAAAAAGGACCCACTCCTTCCCTTCCCTTCCGGTTCAATTAAGTGCAGGGCATTTGAATGGAAAATAACTCAGACAACAAACAGCTGCATAATTACATCTAATTTTATAAACTGTATGCACAGAAACCTACAAGAAGATATTTGCTATTTTCAAAAGCTCTTAACTTAGAGAACCCAGCCTATATTATGAATTTTCTTTGCAAGTTATTCCCAGTATGGTTTGAAATTGCAGCTGAAGAAAGTGCTCACAGAAAAATCTTAAATACTAGTAATACTGCACAGCACAACATACAGTCATTTAATACATGGAGTATTTCACCTACTATAATTGCACACAGGCTGACTTTTCAGTGTACTTAATCCTATCCAATTACTCTAAACATGTAATGATTAATTATAAATATAATTTTTATCACAACCATCACAAACTCTGAATCAGTTTTAAGTCACAGTTAGGGACAGCTTCCTTAAAAATGCAATAAATTATCGTATACAATTCAACATTTAAATCAGGATGCCACAGCACTGAGCATCTCTGTCACCCTTAAGTAAAGCTTTTCTCAGCATAGCACTAGATTATGCAAGCACTCCTTAAGAAAGGAAACAAAAAGCATCTTCATTAAATGTGTCTCTTACTGGTAAAGAATTGCAATAGACAAGTAGAGGGTTTTAAAAAATTATATTACTGTAGTATTGCAATTTTAACATTCGTTTTGCAAATACCTGAAACAACCACAAGCATAGACAATCTTTCCCCTCCAGAGAACCTGGGGAAAGGGAAAAAATAATTCTTTCTTGCCAAGTTTTAAACAGTCAAGTCCAGAAGATGAACAGAGAGAGTGAGCAATTTCTGTCCAGAGAAACTCCATCCACATTTTAAACAAATCATTAACCTACTCATAGCCTTTCTTTGGGAACAGAACCCAAAACTTGGTTATAAAGATAAATAGAACAGCCATAGAAAAATAAGCTGTGTTACTTTAAAAAAAAATCTGAAATGAAAAATGAAGAATGAAACTGAACAGACAATATCATTTCTACAAGTCAGGAACACTATAAACCCTGTTCACCACAGAAAACCACTTTCTCTAAGTGCTGTCATCCATGAGACAATGGAGAAAATTTAGGCTGGTTTACTTGGTAGTTATATATATTTATATATTTATTAAAAAGCACTTAGACAAAGAGATAGGTACTCTTCTTTGAAGAAATGTGTGCTGATAAGATTTACATAAATAAATAGGTACTTTGGCTAAGGCTTTGCATACTCTTACTCACTGACTCCAAGCCAAATTAAAATCATTAAGACTTCAAAAAGCCAGCTAATCATTCAGGAAAGGTGGAATCTGGTGTTTACCAGCCACATATTTTCTGATCAACTCGCAACGCTTATCACTGCACAATACACGAGAATCGAACCCAGATGCATCCCAAGGCAGTTGTACCAGTGGAACTCGATACAGGAGAGCCAGAGAAGCTTGTAGCTGGTGAAATCAGATCACAGGGAGATTGTGGAGGACACACACAGGAGCACTTGACTCTGAATCAGACTTGAATTTCATCACAGACTGCAGCGCAGATATTGAGAGAGGGGTTTTGTGCAAATCACTCAACTTTTCAGCTCCTCACCATGAATCTTTGTTAAAATACAAGAAATAAAGACTTGATCATTCTGTGGGAGCTAACTGCCTGTGAAATACTTCGACAGCCCAGAGTGAAACAAAAACAAACACAAAAGAGTTATATAAACCCAAAGTGGTCATATGTAAACCAGGGCCAGATTCTCCACCCTCTTGCACCGGCAGCTTCTTTTACCTCGCCTGCACTGTTCTTGCCTTTGTAGTACCATCTTTATGGCTTCAACAGGATTTTCTCATATGAAAGGGTAATTCCAACAGTACAAAATTTACAAAATTGGCTGCTGGCAATCATACAAAAGAAAACATGCAGGAAAATTGCTGTTCAATGGAATTTGCTCACCTCCCTGAGAATGGTGAAAACATCTTCACTTATAGCTATCCAAATTAGCATTACTCAAGCAGCAATACAGAGATATGTTAAGTTCAAACACAGCTCAAATGATGTATTAGTCTTGAGTAAAATCCTCACATGCCATCTAATTCTATTTCACCTAATGTTTCATCCTGGTTAAATAGTCTGGGGCAGTGACTGCTCATCTGAGTTGCGATCTTTCCAGAACATTAAGAACCATACTGGTGGAAGACAACATAGTTTGGAGCAGCATTTTTTTTGAATTTTGGGGCACAGAATAATACAGAATGGGGATCATTAAATATGACAGGGAAGGACAGAGAAACAGAAAAGAAGTGCTTGATCTTGACCTGCAATATCAAACATGAGAAGATTATTAGCCATTTAAATGTGTTTATGTTAACTCTAACTAGCACAGGAGTATTTGCCTATGCCACAAAAATGTTGGTGAACTAAATTTGGGTAAGATTTGAGCACTACATTTTGCCTCATCTGTAACCTACCAGGGGATCTATCCCCACTTTGCCTAGGTCCCTCCCTAAACCCCCAAGCTTTGCAGTATTTCCATCTCACAGTTTTGTACTTTAATGTACCAACCAGGACAAAAAAGTAGGGGAAGGAAGACAAAAAGTAAAACATAAAATGGTGAAAAAGGAGTCAGGAAATCCATTTCACATGAAAAGAGAAAAACAAAACAATAAACAATGAGGATACTACGTCAAGACAGTTGAGTTTCCAGCAGACACCTAGAAAGCAGAGCCAGCAGAATACCCTTTCTCCTTGATGATTCCTCAAATAATCCGTATTGTTCTGTTGCACATGACCTTGCAGAAGCCAACACTCATTCTGTAAGTGAATTTTACAATCTTCTTTGTAGATTAATATATGTGAACGAAGTGTCATTGGCCACAGAGAGAGAAAGAACAAGGGTCTTCTAAAACACTGTAACAACCACCATGTACTTACAGCTCTCCATAGACACAAAAAACAAAGTTCTAAATCCTGTGTTTTCTAA